TTTTATTTTCTTCCAAATAGCCATTTGTCCCAATATCATTTACTGAATCCATCCTTTCTTCAGTGAATTAAGATGAACCGTTATCATGAGTTAAATATATATGTACACAGACACACACACATACACACACACATTCTGGATCCATTGCCACATTTACACACACACACACACACACACACATACACATTCTGGATTCATTGCCACATTCTTTATTAAGCTTTTTGTCTGTTCTTTTATAAGAACATGCAGTTAGTTCTCATTATTTGCTGTAGTTATGTTCTGTAAAGTGCTTGCAGACACTGCCTTAGTGAATACTGACCCATTGCCCCTAGGGCAGCGGTCCCCAACCTTTTTGGCACCAGGGACCGGTGTTCCTATGAGAATCCAAGGCCTGATGATCTGAGGTAGAGCTAAGGTGGTGATGCTAGTGCTGGGGAGCAGCTGCAAATACAGATGAAACTTCTCTTGCTCACTGCTCACCTGTTGTGCAGCCTGGTTTCTAACAGGCCACAAACCGGTACTATTCTGCAACCCTGCCATAGGGGAAATACAGAGTTAGATTCCTGAGAGCTTCTGGCCACATTATCATCCACTGATCAATACATGACCTTGTTTTATGTATGTTTTTGTTTAAAGACACCTTATTTATTATATATTATTGATCCATTAACATTGAACTCAGTCACCAGCACTGTAACTCATGCATGAATAAAGTTTATCTAACACATGTTTTTTCTCTGTAAGGCATATCACACCCTTCTTGTACTTAAGGACACTAGGTAGTACTTTAGCTCTGTGCTTGGGGGCCATTTAAAAAATTATTATTACAAATTATTTTTTAGAGCAGTTTTAGATTCACAGCAAAATTGAGCAGAAAATGCTAAGAGTTCTCCTATATCCCTTGGTCCTCACACAAACAAAGCCTCCCTTAGGGGCCATTTTAAATAGCAAAATCATCAACAAAAATGCAGAAAATGCGGCACTAAGTAGACAATGAAAAGGACACTCGTTTATAGTATGAGAGGTGGAAAAAAAGGCAAAGTGTGACCTAGTTCCACCTCAGCTGAGATTTGTTGCTCTGCACATCTGTGTATGACTTTGCAAGCACTGGGAGTATTGCCTTGGAGGTTACAAGTAAACCTGGGGAAGTAAGTGAATTCATAGATAAAAATGTGAATAATGAGGATTACTGTACTTTTAAAATTATAGTAGCTTTATTAAATGCTACTTTATACCTGGTAAAGCAAGTCCCTCATTTTTTAAAGAATTTATTGTCTACAACTCTTAAAATTCAATAATAGACAAATAACCCAATTAAAAAGGGGCAAAAGATTTGAATAGACATTTCTCCAAAAAAAGATATAACCAATATGCACATGAAAAGATTCTCAACATCATTAGCCATCAAGGAAATGCAAATCAAAACCATGATGAGAAGCCACTTTATACACATAAGGATGGATGTAATAAAAAAGGTAGACAATAAGAAGTGTTGGCAAAGTTGTAGAGAAATTGGAACCCTCATTCATTCCTGATGGGAATGTAAAATAGCACAGCTGCTTTGGAAAACTGGCACTTCCTCAAAAAACACAGAGTTGCCAAATGACCTAGTAATTCCAATCCTAGGTATGTACACAAGAGAACTGAAAACATACTCCCACACAAAAACTTGTATGCAAATGTTCATAGGAGCATTATTCATAGTAGCCCGGAAGTAAAAACCCAAATGTCCAGCAACTTAGGAATAAATAAACAAAATGTAGTATATCCATATAATGGAATATTACTTGGCAATAGGAAGGAATGAAGAACTGATATGCGCTAAAACATGGGTGAACCTTGAAAACAGTTATGCTCTTCTTGTGCCCTGCTTGGACCCTCCAGTGACCCACGAGCTGTCAGAAGTAAGGGTCCTCAGCCCCACCATCTGCCCAGTGTCCATCACATGAGGCTCTTAATATATTCTCTAACTGTCTGTGCCTGAGGAGAGTGGTGTCCATAGAGATTAAGCGGTGACCATACTTCGTAATTTATTTGTATTACCCAGGAGTTAATTTGGGCAGTGGGTGGGTTATTGTCTGTTGCTGTTCTCACATGTTTACTCTTCTAGTTGAACTTTAGAATGCAATTGTCACAGCTCCATAACATCCCTTCACCAATAAGAAACTGATAGGACTGTTTCTAAGTTGTATTAAATTTATGTATATGTTTTTGGGTAGACTTGATATCTTTATGATATTTAGTCTTCCATTCCAGGATCATGGTATGATATATTTATTCAGGTCTTATTTTTATGTTCTTGAGTAAAATTTTATAGTTTTACCTTGTTAAGTTTATTGCTAGTTATTATGAATGAGATCGTTTTTCATTTGTTTTTAAAATGATTATGCTGGTGAACACTATTGATGTTTATGTATCTGAATGTCTATATCTAGTAGTATTCTGCCACCTTATTAAATTCTCTTTTTCTTTTTTGATTTTCCTTCACTGGGTTTTCTTCCTCTGCCTGTTTTCCAAGGCATCTCTCCCTGGAAATCTCAAGAATATCTAAAGCTCAGAATAAAACTAAAATAAGTTACAGTTAAGTTACAGTTAGTCTTTCCTTAACTTAGGTTCAGAACTGCTTGCTACTAGCCCATGAAGCACCTTGGTATAAATTAAAAGAAGGTGCCCCTTTCTCCTGACAGTTTACTCCTATCCCCTAGAAAAATTGTTATAATTAACTGATGCAGTTAGAATGTGACATATTGCTGCAGAGAAATGTCATAATAAATCTACAGATCTCTGATGTCTTCTGTGTCAGTACCCCCTTAGATGAGGAGCTCTTGATCAATGTCAAGCACACAAACATTTTCGGTATTGTTTAGAACTATAGATTGTGTCATCACTGCCCCTGAAATCATCCCTTTCTTCTCAAGCCCACTGCCACATTATATTTCACCTCTCATCACAATACAAGCCCCCCTCTCAAAAAAAGGACAAAAGCAAAGTATAACCAGACCTTCCTTTTTCCAGCCTCCCTCTTCCAGGACACTCTAGCCATGACCCAGAATGACCTTCCCGAAGCATCAAGAAACTCCTGCTCAAAGGCCTTTGATAGTTCCTTGTTTTGTTCCCAGTAGTCATGCCTAAGTGCTTCAAGCCCTAGAAGCCCTTATTACAGTCTTTCTTGGCAGCCGCCATTTTCTCGCCACCCCCATGCCACACACGCCCCCCACATCCTCTGCTTTCCCCCACCACATTCTGGTACTTTGGTAATTGTTATTGCCTCTCACTCTCAGTTTGCTCATCTGTGAAATGAGAATAGTGATGCCTCCTCAATAATTATATGGTAAAAAGTAAACCATACAGCATGTGAAAATGACTAGCATAGGGCCTGGCACTTAGCACATTAGTTCCCTTTCCCCTTCCTTCCCCTCCCTCACAAGTGCTTTGGAAACTGAAATGCTGTATAAAATATAGCATGTTATGATTCTGTATACTTCATTGTATATCCATTACCCAGAGTTCTTGTATTTTGTCAAGAACTCATCATATTTGGCCTCAGTAAGGAATATTTGAAAATATTTCAGAAGGAAGCAAAGTGTAACTTTGCAGCCTCAGAATGCCACTGAAACAGGTGTCACTAAAGAGATTTTGGGCGCCTGTGGAAGTTTTCATGATAAGCACCGTGGGAGAACAGGCCCCTCTGAAGATAAGGGTATAGCAGTCATCCTCTGGTTGATAATTTGCCCACGGGCCCAGATGGGTGAGAAGCATAGGTGGCAGCTGCCTCGAGGAAACACAGGTCCTCTCTTCCAGTGGTGGAAGGTGCTTGGAGGGTGCTCGGGAGATATGCTGAGAACTACACAGCCCTTCCCCTGATAGGATTTCGTACACCCTAATACTGCTGCTGTAAGGAAACAAGGAAAAAGTGCTTGCTGCCAACTACAGAAAATGTTTTGTGATTGAGTCAGTTTTCAACTGTGATTGTTGGTTTAAAGAATTGATTTCATTTCAGTCACATTTGGTTCCCTGTTGTCTTTAGTTCTAGGCTCTCCTTGATTTGGTTTCCATTGGGTTTTAATCAGAAACCATCTGGTGAAACATTCTGGATTCAAATTAGAGTTTATCACAAACACATATCTCAGAGAACACACATTAAACAGAATGGAACAAAAAGCAAACAGAAATCTTGCAATAACATAAACAGAATAGTGTCAGAGGGAAGGACTCTGCTTCTACAGAGCCAACTCCTCAGAGAAGGACCAACCAGGGAAAGGTGTCAGGGAGCCAACTAACACATCAAGGTCTGGGTGGGGCATTCTCATTTCTGACCAACCTGCAGTCCTTGCTGGTAGAAACCTTGGTTAGTTGCCTCTACCCGCTTCTGAGCAGGGATAGAGCGCCATCTAATGGGCAGATACAGTTCACTTTATTCCAAAGATGGACCCCTGAAAAGTCCTGTTTCCTTTCCATCTTTTCTCTCTGCACCCTTTTCTCACCCTCCTTCCCAGAGTCATGCCAGCTTCCATTTGGACTTGTGAACCAAGGGTCTAGGCCCACATGCAGAGTACTGGAGAAGACATGCAGTGGGTCTCATCACTGATGGTGGGACCCCCCTTTCTGCCTGCCCCTTCCGCCATGGCTGTAGATGGTTCAGACGTGTAGGTCACAAGTTAGAAAACAGTGGAAGAACTAAATCTCCAGCCCCATGGCACTGAGTTATCTTCTCCAGCTGTTTAATTTTGTTGATTTAACATATTAAAAGATATATTCCATAAAGTGTGGAAGAGTGTCCAGAGAGAAGTACCTCTCCTTGTTACTTGAGCCCTAGGCCCTCTGTTCCCTCTTCAGAGGCTACTTATTTCATATGTACCTTTTCAGAGGTCACCAGTGCTTGTCACTGTTAGCTTTTAAAATTACTATTATTATCTTTCCTTTCTACTTCATTGCTGGGGCTACTGGATTTACTTGCTGTGTTCTTGTATCTGCTTTCTCCATATCCCTTCCTCTCTCAGACTTTGACCCCTGGTGGACAAATGATCGTGAGCAGAATGAGTCAGACCCCATCCCTGCCAACTGCACTGGTTGTGCCCAGAAATTACCCCTCAAAGTAATGCTTCTGGAAGATACCCCGAAGAAATTTGAGGGACTCCATCCTCTGGTGATCAAGGTGAGCAAGAAGCCCGATTCTCCCACGGACCAGTTGCCCATGTAATGGATAGAAAGCATCAAGCTCTATGACATTCCTGACAAGTAATTTTGTGTTTTGTTTTGCTTTGTTTTTGGCCTTGTCCAGACAGAGCAGCCCCTGTTGTCTGAGGAGCTTCAGCATTTTTTGTGCCAGTACCCTGAGGCAACAGAAGGCTTCACGGAAGGGTTTTTCACAAAGTGGTGGCGCTGCTTTCCTGACCGGTGGTTCCCATTTTCTTATCCATGGTGAGTGTGAAAAGGAGCACTAGTCTGCGTGTAGAAAGGGGGCAGACCAAATGTCAAAACATCGATGGCTACCACTGAGACCCTACTATGCCCAGCACCATAAGCAGCCTACAAGTAATACAGCCTACAAGTCAAATGATACTCAGGAGGTCACTGTGGAAAAACCAGTGAGATGTGTCAAGAAGGGCACTGTCATGGGTGGACAGTAAGATTGCCTAATAGAATCATAATTTATTTCTATGTTTGTGTTTAGCATTTGTGTTTATGCAGAGTGGGTCCTGAGCGTTGAGGTCTAATGGGAGAGCCTGAAGAATAAAATAAAAACATCATTTCCCAGCACTCATTTGTGCCTTGTGCTTAGTGTCTGTTGCTCAGTGGTGACGCTCATAATTCCTCTGGGAAGTAGGAATTATCATTGTCATTTTTCAGGTCAGAAAAGTGGGAATCAGGTTAGGTACCTTGCTTAAAGTCACCCAGCCAAGACAAACCCAGGTCTGTTTCCCCGTTCCTTCCTGTGTCCTATAAAACATGGACTGTTTCTTGGGGTGTTCTCTAGAAAGAAAAGGAAATTAAAATTCCAAAAGAGAATTAAAATTGCTTTTTTAAGCTTTTCATTGTATAATTACTCAATGTTCTGCCTTTAAATTTGCTGTTTATGTGCATGATCAAGCTAGTTAGGCTTCCCCATCCACAACCCTCACTGCACGCCACTCTGCCTCAGAAGAAGGTTCACGATTTTTGCCCCTTCTTCCTCTTTTTGTCTCTTCTCCCACTTGGCTTGTGAGTACTTCAGTCTCTTTTCCAAGAAAGAATGAATGGATTGTTTCTTTCCTTCCTCTATATGTTGTTTTAGCTGGATTTTATAAACACTCCACCCACACGAACAAATTCATGGCTGTAGAGTTTGTGTGCATGTACATGTTACAATTAATTGATTTGGCATGACTATTCTTCATGGACCTAATACTTAAGATATTGTCCTGATATTTTTCCCTCTTTACCCACCGCCCACAATTTTCCCATCCTTGATTAGCTCTGTTAGTAATGGAGGCTGGCTTGCCCAGTTTAATTACTTTTTTCTTTCAAACTTTTACAGGAGAAGACCTCTGAACAAATCACACATTTTACGTGAGCTTTTTCCTGTTTTCACCTACCTGCCATTTCCAGAAGATGCCTCCTTAAAAAAGTGCTTCCTTCTTCAACCAGAACCAATTGTGGGGAGTAAGGTAGAAAATTTTGAGAGGACTTAGATCTGGAGTTTTTCTCATTTGGGACCTGGGCTAATGTCATAATCAAGGCCTTCCCTGCACATCAACTTAGAGGGTGAATTGAAAAGACACCTTCATAATCTAAAGTTCTCTCCTCCTCTTACTAGTCAGATATGCAGTGGCCTGCCCTTTTACAAAGACATGCTTACAGAAAATCTAGTTACCTTGCAGATCTACCTCCAGCAGGCTACTTTTCTGCATTAAAGTGTGTGGAATCCTGAAATTTGAAGGGACATGAGCATGCAGTTAGTCTGACTTCTCTACCTCAAAGTAGAAAGCAGGCAAACTATAAATGAATAGTCCAATTAACTCATTTTGTAGATAAGGAAATTGAGCCCCTGCAAAATTAAATGACTTACCCAAGGACACAGCAAGTTAATGGGAGGGCTCTCCCCACCCCTGTTCCCGCATTGGCTTTCCCCAGAAATAAAATGAGGAGCTTCAGGTAGAGAATTGGAAAAGTAGAATGCTTGGGAGCCTGGAGAAGTTTGGAGACAAAAGGTTGACAGGCAGGCAGCCCAGTTTGGGTGGCCACACTTCTCACCTCAGTCAGTGGCTAAATCCCCAGAGCCTGCATTTACCCCACTGTGGCCAGTGTACGAGGCAAAGCTGTTCTGTGTTTGTTTCTGTTTACTTTTCTCTGAATTGCTCTTTTGTTGAGTCTCATTCCTGAGGAAGATTTTTGAGCTTGGATTGTTTTGGAAGAATTAAAAGGATGAATTTTCCTTTTTTAAAAAAATTTCCAAAACTGCGACTTCTACCAACTCTGAGTTGTCTTCAACCTCCTGATACTATTGGCTCCAAATTTGCTGAATCGTGTTAAAGGAATTTAAAAGCCTAGGAAAACAATCATTTTGTTTAGAAGTAAGAATTTCTGTCTGCCAGCAGTAGGGTGGAGGTGCTGGGCTCTTGCCTCAGATTTTAAAGGAGTTTATCCTGCTGTCCCCAGCTAAAACTCAGGGCTCTAGTATGATTTCATCTTCATAATTGTGATACAATTCTGGGTGAGGGCCTTAATCTTGGTTTTCCTATTTGAATCTGAAATTAATTTCACCAGCCTGCCTAACAGGGACATCAAGGAGCCTAGCCAAAGGGATAAATACAGAGTTACTTAGACTCCTGTCAAAGTCATTTTATTGTGGTTCTCAGAGATGTTTTGGGAAGGGGAGTGGCCCAATAGGCAAAAATCCTGAGAGTCTGGGTTCTTGGAGCATCTGTTCCCCACCCTGGCCCAAGCTCTTCTTTCTCCACAGCCTTGTTACTCCACCCTGTTGTCCATGTCCCTGGGCCCCGGACCCTTTTAAAGTCACATGTCTGGAGGCCCAGGATGCAAAAGACAGTCTTGGGATAGAAGATATGAAGTGGGGATTGGATTGTTAAGAGGCACTGGGGGAAGTGGTAGGGGCTCCAAGGCCCACTTCCCCAACTCCACAGTGTTGCCTGGGGCTGGCGTGCTCCTTCCTGTTGTCTGTTTCTTCCCTCCTGGGTGTGGAGGAACATGGTGCCGCCACCTCTCAGGCTTATATGAAAAAGAGATACAACCACTTTGTTTTGGTCTTCTGGGATTTTTTTCAAGACTATAGATGTAAGTGCTTCTGGAGTCACTACCAATCAGTTGTAGGCCAATTCAAGATACTAATTAGTCTTCCCCAGTCCTCCTCCTGTCACTGCAGCAACAATTGAAATAGCTCTAGTGTTGCCATGGAAATAGAGTCATGACCAGGACAAATGGGAGCAATGGAGAGACCAGGGCTGGGAACAGGAAAAGATGGGGCCAAAACCCAAGACAGAGGCCCCAGGTGGTGAAGAGAAAACCAAGACAAGGTCCAGGGAGTCGGATTTCTGACCCCCTACTTTTTATGAATGAAGGGTTTCCCGAAGGGCAGGGGTTGGGACGGAAGGCCCTAGGGACTTCGCTCTCTCTAGGTAGGAAGAGAAGCCTCAGCAAGATCAACCTCTTTCTTTATCCCTACTCCCTGCCTCACCCCAACCCCAGGGTTCACAACTCTGCCTGGCACACAGCAGGTTGCACTTCATGTCTGTTGGTAGCAGTAGTACTCCCTCAGAAGTGCAGTAGTTGCCTGTGCAGGTGCATATCCTGGTTGTCTCTTTAGTTTTCAAAATCAGAGGCCAATCTTACTGTCATTAGCTTTTAATCAGTAGCATGACATCTACTTACCTAAGTCTTGCCAGAAAGTATAAACTTGAACTTGCTGCTATTCAAGTCTCATAAAAACCCTTTCTTGGCAGCAAGAAAGAATATTCCATGGAACATTTCCCAAAGGATGTGTAGTGCATCTATTTCTCTAAAAGTCTGGATCAGACCAGACCCTCAGAAGATTTCATGCTTGGACCACCATGTGTTGGCCTTTGCTAGGCTTTTGTTAAATTGCAATTAGATATTATGCTTTTGACATACTTAGACGCTGTGGCTAGAAACAGTTGGGAATCATGAAGCTCATGCTGTTTTTGCTATAGGGCTGTTATTGAGGATGTCACTAAATCACACCAGGTCCCATTAGGAGAAGCCGTTAAAAGAGATTTTACCCTAGTCTCAGTACTGGGAGATACCATGCTTTGGAGAAACTAGTTCGTTCTTGTCTTTTGGACATGATTGTGAATTGTGTTGTTCTGTTTTCCTTTTTGCTTAGGCTGCTAGGAAACTCAGAGCTATATTTATGTGGATTTTTGTCTCTCGATCTCCCATGCCCCTGGGTTTTATTTTGTTTTCTCCCCCCATTCCCCCTTTTTTACCTTCAGATGCGTAGGATGCATGATCTTTTTACCATTGGCAGCGGTGAGGCCATGTTGCAGCTCATCCCTCCCTTCCAGTGCCGAAGACACTGCCATTCCGTGGCAATACCACTAGAGCCAGGGGATATCGGTAGGTGGGGCCCCGGGAGGGCAAGGTCAGTCACAGGATCTTTTTCATCTTTAATTCAAAAAATGTTGAGTTCACAAAGGTTCAATTGAGTAGAGTAAAAAAAATAGCATTTTTTTAAATGAACAAGGTCAATATTTATGCTTAGATGGGACTAATGAGAAAATGTAGCAGAAATGTTTTGTTGTGTATACATTTAGAAGGCATGTGTCCATTGGTCTTAGAAATTTCAAGTTAGAAGGGATTATGGAAAATATTTAGAGCAACCCTTTATTTTATAGATTAGAGTGAGACCCAGAGAGGAGAGATGACCATCCCAAGGCCCAACCATCAGTTAGGCAAAGCATCAAGTCTTAAGTGTCTTGTTTAACAGAGTCAAGCCAGGGGAGGTACAAGTCCAGATTCGAGGAAACTCTTTCTTTGCCCATTTTGCTAATAAAACAATGCAAGCAGTATGTAAGGGCAACAGCCACACAAGGAAATATTACCTTCTGTGTGGGTCCAATAGCCAAGTCACAGCCTCACGGTCATGACTCACCCTTGGCTCCATGATTTTCCAACTGTGACTTGTTCTGTGCATTCTAAAAATCTGTTCCAGACAAAGAGGTTTAAATCAAATGCTGTCGGTAGCAATCAGTTTGACTGTAGAGTTTTCTTGGCAGAAGCAAATAAATCAGTAAGCGTCATCATTGCCCTCCTCGTTTTTCCCCACCTCACAAAACCAAGGGGAGGTCTGGAGCTCAGACTGGTTTTTTAATTGATTCCTTTTAATTTACCTATTCAGAAAATCTCAATTCCTAGAAACCTCTCACCTCATTTGGAGGAAGGATGCAGACTGTGCCAAGTTTTGGCTGAATTATATAACTTTTTTTTCAATTTAGAAATGAACAAATAAAAATGCAGAAATTAAGCATTAACTTATAATGGAGCACAGCTGGCCTGGCCCTTCAGATTTACTTCAAAAAGAATAGTCTTGTGTAGAAATTGTTCTGATCCTTTCTTGAGGTGTGACTACTGCACAAGTCTGTATGACATTTGGGTTGGGAGTGTGTAATTGTGCTTGAAAAAGTTTCTGTCTTATGTTCTGCAAATGGCTGACAGTTCAGACAACTGCAGAAATGCCTTAGTTATACAAATTCCAGGTTTCCAGCTCCCACAAGCATCTAGAATACCAATTATAGAATTCGGGAAAATGAAAAATATGGGTGACTGGCAGTGATCAAAGAAGCTTTGGCCATCAGAGTCCAGTGGGGGCAGTCCAGAGTAGTCTAAAATCCAAAGCCTGGACCTGCCATGCTGAGTTGGCTGGTCTGCTGACCAGAGGGAAAGGAGCCCTATGGTTGACAGTGCCCATGAAAGGCCAGCCACATGACAGGAATGTGGAGAAGGGATGGGAGATGGAAGAGAACAAGAGGAAGAGGGCAAGTCTTGAAGAAAAGGAGAGGGGTAGGGAATGGTGGGGAGAACAGTGGGCGCCTGAAGCAGTGGCAGGAATAGAAGCGATGGCTGCAGCTGCCACGTTGCAAATGAGGACAGGAGAGCAGACCCTGATAGTGGAGAAGAAGAATTCAATGGTTGTAGGACGGATGGCTGCTCTAGCACCTCAGGGACCCTTAAGAATGCTTATTTGACAAGCAAATTCTGTGTTTTTCAACAAAATAAGCATTGTCCTATGAAGGTTGCGGGGACGGGGACAGGGTTACAGACTACCAGAAAACCTGATGGGAGGTGTTTTCAAGAATGACATAGGGGTCAGGTGCTGGTGAGTCCGCACATCTGCCAGGATTATATAGTCACTGATTGTAGTGACCTTTTTTGAGTCACCATGTAGAGGTTACATTTTATTCAGTGCTCTCTGTTTAAAGATGAGTAGGGTACATAATACTCTAGAAAATTTTCCATCAGATTATTGAAGTGTTAAAGTTTTTAAAGTTTTTAAATTTATCTTCCTAGCCCACTCAAATTAATGTAGGCCAGTGTTTCCTAAAAAGTTCTTCAGGTCATTCTTGACCCCTGGGGTGGGAACAGGGACCCCTCGGAAAGGTCTGTGACAAATAGGACTCCTTGGGTCAGTTGACTTTGGGAAATGCCTGTCTTGTCGATATATAGTGCACTTTAGTGTACAAAAGTTTCCAAAAAGCCTTGGGGGAACCTAGCGTTTCTCAAACTTACTTGACCACGGAACCTGTTTTTCTCGGACAGTTTTACAGGGTGCTGCTACTGTCTGCAGAACACAATTTAAGAAACGCTGGTTTAGGTTAATCTGGATGTTCTGTAATGAGGCCATATTGTAAATAACCTCAGGGGACTTAGGTGGGAGTCCCACTCCCCCTCAGAACTCCTCTTGTCTTCTTGCTGAAAAAGATGAGATCAGTGTGAGAATTGATGCCCAACACCAGCCTCGTCTAGATCATACTGCCTTTGTTAAGCCTGCTGAGTTGTAATTCACAATTACCCAGATGAGGGGAGGTGAAGCGCTTTGGTTCAAAGTGGCTCCTGGCGGATGTCAGGTTACAGTGAGATCTGATAGTAACTGGGAATATTTATGCCCAGAAGAGCTAAAAGACCTTGAGAGCAAGATTTGCCTGACTCTGCAGGCATGCCCCGAGGGCAGCTTCAGCAGACCTGCCTTGCTCATGCCCACAGGTGTGCCCAGCCCCTGACATTAACATGCTTTCCTGTTGCTGTTTCTCTTCAAGGCTATGCTGGTGCCACCCACTGGAAGGTCTACATTATAGCCAGAGGGGTCCAGCCTTTGGTCATCTGTGATGCAACCACCCTCTCAGTACTATAGGAAACAGAACTGTGTGGAGGAACAGCTTTTAAAGCCGAAGACCAGATTGAAAGGAGGAAATAAAAACAAAAACAATGAAACACTTTCCAGGGACTGGTTACTTAGTTACCTGCCCTGTGCATGTCTTTGTGAGCCAGCTGTATGCTGGAGGTGATGACCAGAGCCAGCCAGACTCTTCCAGCCCTGCTGCTTGGCCAGGACTTTGCCAATACCTGTCTGAGAGAGACTGGGCTCTTCTAGGTCTTTTGGCACCACAGCCATGAGGCTGCCCTTCAGGCAGGAAACAGGGTTGGTGCCTTCCCTCACTTACATGATCCCCTCTGCTGGCTCCCTGGCCACAGAGAGGGCAGCCAACAGGTTCTGACTTCAGAGCCATCCTTTACCAGATGGCTTGTGTGTCCTGTCTTCCTGACCACACCATCTTGTACTTTTTTAGGAAAGCCATGGCTGATTAAAGAAGCCATTGCAGTTTCCCAAGCAGAACAGAGTCTGGAACCAGTGAAAAAAGATCAGATAACCTCAAATTGCTTTCAAGATGTACACTTCTTTCCCAGAGTCCATGGCTCTTAGAGTCTCAGCGATGCCAGACTGGAGTCTGATTGTAATTGAAATGGTCATTTCTAAATACTTTTCTCCATTTTATCAGGTTTTTCTGCACTTGCCCCATCCCCCACCCATAACTCCTTCCCTTTTCCCTTACTTATCCAGGTGGTTTCTCAGCAGTTGGGCTTCTGGAGCCCTCTCCTTTGGCTGAGCCAGAGCCCTTTACTGCTGAGGCAGCACCATTCCTGTCAACTGTGTTACTTTTACCAAGTGTCTTCAGAGGGGGATGAGTTAGAGTGCTGGCCTGGGGAGAGGGCGCCTCCCCAGGTTTGATCTTTAGGGTCTGACTTTCTGCAGGGAAGATGTTTTACAGATGTGTCAAGCTGATGTTGTAATGTGGTTGGGGAAGGAACTCCAGATCCAAAGTGTTTGCCAGCTGGGTGTGCGACTAAAATGATCTTCCTCTTTGTACTGGGAAACAAGGTGAGGTATTTTTATTCTTTGTAATAATATAAGCTATATCCTTTTGATTGGATAATTCACTGTGCTCATTGTTTCCTGTAAGTGCTTTTAGTATGTATTAATCAAACAGTGTAAAAGGACACTCTTTTCTTGTTTCTTTTTCTTTATTATTCTTTTATTAACTGCTAGATATCTGGTCTCTCATCATGCTATTAGCAAGATGAAGGAAGACAAACCACTCTGCGGCCCCTGATTCTGAATGGCAGAAATCAAATGGGTACAGGAGGTGTCTCTGTCAGGGTCAGGGACCAGAGGCAGGCAGTGGTGAGGGAAGTGGGTGTGACTCCTTGCGGGGTCCTCAGCAGTGCCCCTGTACCTGTCCCCAGGCCCTCTTTCTCTGTATGTCTCATGAGCAGCAGTGGGGCACTAAAACTGCCTGTTTGTGGGCTTGCAAAGGACAGTCAGGGTTCACGGAGCTTGGAGTGGAAACATTCAGAGCCTCCTCCATGGGCTTAGATGAAACTAAGATGAAGTGTACCTGAGGGAATTTTTTCTTAAAAGAATCAACGTCTTGTGTTGATAAATGAGGAAAACCAAAACTTTTTGTACATATAAAAGTCATGCTTGCTAAACAGTTATGATTTAAGAGGTTTTAACTCAGAGGGATCATTTAGAGGCCAGCTTTGTGCAAGCTTTTCAAGCATTTGCCATGTCCTCCTTATCCCTGCCGCACATAGGGAGGAAGGATTATATGGAAACAAGTTCTTTAGAGGCCTCTCTGTGTTTTCCTAAATTTGACTCTTCGGGTTAAGAAAAGAGAGGCTTCCTTAGGAGCAAAACAACTGTTTTGATGATTGAGATTTCTGTTTCATTTTTATGAATTACTGTGTGTTCCTTCCCCATTTCACTCCTGCCCTTTATACCTTAAATGTTCATAAAATACCCACTTCAGCTCAAAACTTTGGAAACTAAGAAACCCTCGCACATGTGGGTGTTTGGAGGCATTCCCTGGAAGTCCCCTCAGCCCCTGAGCTGTAAGCAGTTCAACAAAGAATGGTATGGCAGCAGATAAGTAGAGACTTTTGTGCACGTACCACTCGTTTTACTTAAAATCAGTCCAGTTCAGAATTGAATATACATTTTTTTTTTAGCAGACAAATTCTCCATACAGGGTTTTCTGCTCTTAATTACTGGATACATGGAAGTAATTCGTCTTCTTCTCAAGGCAATTCTGATAAGCCGAATCCAGCGCTGAAAGTCCTGCAGAAGTGGCTTGGGATTTTTAACCAGTCCCTTTCTAGTCACCCAAGGCTTTGTGTGGGAGTCCTGCGGGATTTCCCCGGCTCACCTTGCTCTCAGCCCCTCCACGGAAGCACATGACCCAGTGTAGCGAAGAGATTCATTAGTGAGGAAAGGTTGTGGGGCATGGTGGGATCACCTAACCAACTCCCGCTTCTACCACCACAATAAGAACAAAACTGCAGGGCTCTAAAAAGAGGGACTTGCTCAGGAGTTTGTTTAGTGTTTACTAAGTAAGAGGTGACATGTGACCTCCACACATGGGTTAGGTTCACTTCCTTATAAGTTCCCAGAGCAAAGACTGGTATCCCTGGAAATCAGCTCTTTGGGAAGAAAGGCTGCTTCTGCACCAGTGTGAAGCATTTATGTCTAGATGTCCGGAGGTCTTGGGAATCAAGTATTAGTACACTTGTGCTGGCTTCTGAAAAGAGGCAGACTTTATCCTTTCATTTTTAGAGAAGAGAGAAATTGCATAATAATGGTTTATGAAAACAATCTACCTATTTGGTGATATGTAAAACAATCTATGAAATTAGCAGATTTGGGCTCATTTTTTAAGAGAAAGGAATAACAACATTTGTGTAGTCCACAATCTCCTTTAATCTTTACTCAGTCCTGTTAAGTAGGTATCATCCTCATTTTACAGGTAAAGAAACTAGGGCTTAGAACAGTTAACTGCTGTTAGGTAAGTAGTTGGTTCTGTAGCATATTATTGTCCTGCCTCAGCACAGTGCGGTGCCCAAGAACGAAAATGGTTTACTTGATTCAAGGGAGCCCTCTTTGGGGTAGGAGAACCTAGAGACAGGTCAGCAAAGCAGAAACTCTTCAAGATTTGTTTTTAAAACTGTTTTGGACAGAAATGGAGGAGGAGAGATTCTAACCAGATGACTTTTATAAAAAGCCTTCATTTTTCCCTCATTTGAAAATTCTTTGAGTGAATGTGCCTGGAACAGAATTGTGTCCAGCCATTTTCCTGTCATTCCATGTTTCCAGATGTGTGACCAGAAGAGGGAGTCTGCCCAATTCCAGTTGTGGGTCCCTTTGGAGTTTACATCACTTGTTTTTCAGTTCTCAGTTTTCTGTTCTCTTCCAAAATCCAGCATAGGCCTCAGTGTAGGAATAATTATTTTAATATGAAATCTCAAGTTCCTTAGCTGCAGGTGATGGCCTCAGCCATTTTAATATAGCCCAGATGAGAGTTTGCTCATTAACCAATGGCTTCCATAGTGAACATTGAAAACTCCAAAGCAGATGTTTGTTTCTCATCTAATCCTTGCCCTGCAGGAGAAGGCCAGGTTTTAGGAGAAAGAGTGAAAACCGCATGTCTGGTTCCCTGGGCAGAGGTGATCTTGTCTACCTTTTGAGAATCAGTTGTTGAACAGAAGAGTCTTTTAAACATTTGAGTTCTCTTAGTTGTGGAGGAGAAATTCTCCTGAGTTCTATACTCATTAACTCTCAGTCATGACCCATCACCCACTAAAATTGGTTGACAGAAGGGAGTGCCAGAGATGAGCTTTGAAACAGTAAGTTAGCTTGAGATCCTCTCCATGTGGACCTGTGCATATCGTGTACAGAACCTATCCATGTCAGGGCCAGGGAGTTAAGAAGGTGAGGTGCTTATAGAGATAACTCTGTAGCAAATGAAAAATAGGAGGCTCTGGGAATGTGCTGTGTCACCGGCGGCATGTGTATCCCCAGATGCCTCACCCCCAGCCTCCCAGTACCCAACAGCTTCTACAAAAGCATCTCAGAAGATAGGCAGGTGCTCTCCCCCTCATGCGCTATATGCAAGTCTGCCTACCCTGGACACAATGTAGCTTTAAATGCTGGCCTTGGTGAGAAAGCCTTCCGCCGGCTTATCTCTTGTCCTGGTCTCTTAGTGTCTGGTTGCCCCTCCCTGCATAATTTAAGCATTAGAGCTAAATAATCTGTCATTTTCCTTTCTCTGGAGACATGAAATGTCCAGACATTTTCAGAATAGTGGAGAAGAGAAATGTTACATAATTCCAAGGAGAGGCTTGGTACTGTCCAGACATAGTGGGGCCGGCCTGGAGACCGTTCCTCTTGCACTTAGTGCGTCTGTCACTCAGAGTCAGCCAGCATCAATCCAAGAGTAAGCCACAGCTGCAAGCACCCGTGCAAAGAAAGGAAACCAATTTAGTTTTGAGTTTTAAACAAATTGGGGAGTCCGGATATCTGCTTTGTGCCAGTTTTAACTTGCTCTCCTCACAAGGACTCTGTGGGTTGGATGAGGTCATCCTGTGAAGCCACCTTAACTCACAACTTGGCAGTGTCCTAGTCTTCAGACTTAAACCCCTCAGAGCACTTGTGACCTTTTGAGAAACAGCAGTCACTTATCTGTGAGAATTGGTGACAGGATCAGACAGACACACAGCATTCCCAGAGAAGCCCCAGTCTCATCATAGCCAATTTTCCCTCCAAACTTCTTTCTGTAGTTTCGCCCTCAGAAAAATGCTGGCTGCAGTGTTTTTTCCCTCTCCCTCCTGCAGGAAGGTCAGTCACAGGCTGAGGGAGAAGACTGGAGAGGCAGAGGTAAGCCAGGAACTCTGCTCAGCCTCTTCCCTGCTGTCAGGGTGAGCAGCCAGACAGCTGCAGTTCATCTTCAGGGAACCGGAGTGGTGGGCCTGGATGGTCCCAGTAATCGAAGGAAGACAGACATCTGTCCCAACTGCTCATGCTCTAAACGGTCTAAGCTGGTCTAAGCTGTTAATGTGTGTTCAGTGCAGAATATTGACAGTAACTTAATGTACTGCAAACTTGTAAAGACTTCCACCGTGTAAAGAATGTATGTAAATTAAAGTTTTATGTAATGAAAGTTTTTACATTTTGCAATTAAAATGTGTATGTTGGTTGATAACTTTGCTATAGTTGGTGTCATTTTTTTTCCAGTGAAAAGTTTTTGTATTTAGAATTAGCCAGCTGGATTCAGTTTAGATGATCCCAATTTTGTTGGCAACATCCAAAGCATCTTAGTTGGGAGCCAGGGGAACATATGCCTCTTCTCTCCATCACGCTGGATCGGGGTGTTGACTTTGGCCACGTCAACGTCAAAGAGCTTCTTCACAGCCGTTTGATCTGGTGCTTTTTGGCCTTGACATCCACAGTGAACATGAGTGTATTGTTGTCTTTCATCTTCTTCATGGCTGAGTCGGTAGTCGGGGGGAACTTGATGGCATAGTGGTCAATCTTGTTTTTCCTGGGACCGCTTTTCCCAGGGCATTTGGGTTTTCTTCAGAGCTACAGTGTCTTGGGCTGTCAGAGGTGGGTGATAGGTATATCTTCATTTTGCATTGTGGCTGTGGATGCCTTTTAGCACTGCTTTCTTTGCCTTCAGAGCCTTTCCTTTGGCTTTGGTTTTGGGAGGGGCAGGGGCTTCCTTCTTCACTTTCAGCACCTCTTCGTGAAAAGGCAGTGTCATTCTTGAATTTCCAGTTTTCTCACATAACTTTGGAGACTTCTAGCCACATTCTACTCATGAGGCAAGCCTTCAGGGCTCGTCTGTGGGCCTCCTGGTCTCCTGTCCCTTGGTCCTTTCTCACCCAGGTTTGTATGCGTTCACATTCACAGACTCTTCTTTTATCCCCATTCCAGACCCCTTGTGGCTTCCCATCTGCTGTGTCCATAAATTCTCAAATCTCAATCCTGCTGTTATTACCTTTCCCTGTCCCTGTACTTTGCCCAGAACTCAAACGAGACTCTGGGTGCCTTTCTCCTTCTCACCAGCCAGTTGCACGTAGCCCAGATGCCCTCACAGTGTCGCCTCGCCCATCGATGTCCTTGGTTCTCACCCCCTTCCTGGCTTCCCGCAACTGCTACCAGATTAGGGCCACTCCTGGCACTCAATTAACTCAATGGAGATTTGATTTAAGTCATTTTTGTGTGTGCATTTTTTAAAATTTCTTTTTTAAACAAAAGAATGACTATAACCATTTCTTATATAGTGTTTAGTGTTCTGTTTTATTTTTCTTTATTACTTGCTGTATCCTCTTCCCTCTCCCCCACAGCACCCCTTCCCCTTCTCTGGTCATCTGCCATGTATCTTTCTAATCTTCATTCTTTCTAATCATGATCATAAATCATAAAGATTTTGTCATTGCTTTACCAAAAATGGGATTGTATTATAGACACTTGATGTTTCTTGAATTTTCTACTCAGTAACTCACAGAGTTCCTAAGTCAGCTGGTTCTAATCCATTCTTTTTAATGGCTAAGATTCCATGGTGTGGGTATGCTGTCATTTATTCAGTTGTTCTCTTATTGATGATATATCACACCCTGTTAAATGATTATTTGGATTTTAAGTCAGATCTGGAGTTAATTTTAAAAATACTTGTCCCTGTAAAAAGGTGGCAAAGTCACCTGATTTTAGGCCCCATCCTTCTCAGCTCCTCTGTAGCACTTGATGCTGACTTATGGAAAACACCTCCTTCTCTTGGCTTCTGTGAGTCTCACCATTCCCTTCCTGAACCTCCTTTTTCCACTTCTGCCTCCTTTGTAGGATCTTCTGCCTGTCCCCGAAAGTGTGGTTTTCCCTACTGTTCTGCCCTCGGGCCCTCTTTTCTCTCTCTCTAGGAGATCTCAACTCTGTACTTTACCTTCCACCCATGAGCAAGTCACCTCCATCCTACATGCCTGGCCCCCACTAGCCTGAACTCCAGTCTTTTAAATCCAGGTGTCAGGGGCTCATGTCCACCAGTTCTCCTAAAGTACCTCCAATTCACTATGTCCAGAATGCTGTGGCGGCCTCAGAAGGCTCTTGTCTTTTCTCTCAGCCTCTACTTCTGATCTGTACTGAGCTCTGGAGAATTCTGCAGCCCCATTGCTGCTGTCTCCGTTTAGAACCTTGTTTCACTCCTAGACTCTGCCAGTAATTGCCTAATTTGTTTCTCATGCACGTCTGACCATCCCAATTCATCATCCATATTAGCTGTCACAGTGATCTTTCGAAAGCACGTGTCACCTCACTTTCTTGCTCAACACTCAGTGACTCTCCATCACCCACAGGATAAGAAGTCCTGGCTGGCCCCTCCAGCCTCATTCCACTCCTTACCTTTGCTCCTTCTCTTCATCTGTGTCCCACCTCTACTAGACCATCCGTAATTCCTGGAAACATCCATGCTGGTTTTTCTTTCTTTCTTTTTTTTAATTAAAATCTTTTCAGAGCAGTTTTAGGTTCACGGCAAAATTGAGAAGAAAGTGCAGAGTTACCATATACTCCCTGTCTCTACCCACACACAACTTTCCCTGATTGATATCCTGTACCAGAGTGGCACATTTGCTACAATTAATGAACCTACATTGACACCACATTATCACCCAAAGTCCATACTTTACATAAGGGTTTACTCTTGATGATGTATGTTCTGTGCGTTTGGACAGATGTATAATGATATGTATCCATCATCATGTTATACTGAGTAGTTTCACTACCCTAAAAAATCCTCTGTGCTCTGCCTATTCATCCCTCCCTCTCTGCTCACCCCTGACACCCACTGACCTTTTTACTGTTTCAGAATTATGCAGTACGTAGCCTTTTCTGACTGGTTTCATTCACTTAGTAATATGCATTTAAGGTTCTTCCATGTCTTCTCATGGCTCAATAGCTTATTTATTTTTAGCATTGAATGATACTCCATTGTCTGAATGTATCACAGTTTATTTGTCCATTCACCTACTGAAGGACATTTTAGTTGCCTCTAAGTTTTGGCAGTTATGAAAAAGGCTTTTGTAAACATCTGTGTGCAGTATTTTGTGTGGACATAGTTTTCAACTCCTTTGGGTAAATACCCAAAGAAACATGATTGTTGGATTGTGTAACAAGAGTATATTTAGTTTTGTAAGAAATCACCAAAGTTTTTTTTTTTTTTTTTAATGCCTATAGCACCTGGTCTTCCTAGGTGGAATCCCATTCAAGTACTATCCAGGCCCAACTCTGCTTAGCTTCCAAGATCAGAACCAAACTTTTTCAAAGTGACATCATTTTGTATTCCCACCAGCAATGAATGAGAGTTCCTGTTGTTCTATAGCCTATCCAGCATTTGGTGGTGTCAGCGTTCTGGATTTTGGCCATTCTAATAGGTGTGTAGTGGTATCTATGACATATTATGTTGAACATCCTTTTATATGCTTACTTGCCATCTGTGTATCTATTGCAGTGAGGCATCTGGTCGGGTCTTTGGCCCATTTTGTAGTGAGGTTTTCATATTGTCGAGTTTAAGAGTTCTTTGTATATTTTGGATAACAGTCAAATGTATCAAATGTATCTTTTAAAAATGTTTTCTGCAGTTGGCGGCTTGTCTTCGTAGTGTTATAGAAGTTTTAAATTTTAATAAAGTCCAACTTAATCAGTTGTTTCTTTAATGGATCGTGCCTCTAGTTTTGTATCAAAAAAGGCATCTCCATACCCAAGGTCACCTAGGTTTTTTCCTGTATCATCTAGGAGTTGTATAGTTTTGCCTTTTACATCTAGGTCTGTGGTCGATTTTGAATTAATTTTTACGAAGGGTGTAAAGTCTGTGTCTAGATTTTTTTGTTTGTGGATAGCGGTTTCATTACAATTTGTTGAAAACAACTTTTTGCTCGTACTGTCTTTGCTCTTTTATCAAAGATTAGTTGACTATATTAATGTGGGTCTACTTTTGGGCTCTCTAATTTGTTATATTGATCTTTAAATCTTGAAATTGGGTAGTGTCAGTTTCCTGATTCTGTCCTTCTCCTCCAGTATTGACTTGGCTATTCGGGGTCCTTTGTCTCTCTATATAACTTTGGAATCAGTTTGTTGATATCTACAAAATAACTTCCTGGAGTTTTGATTGGGATTGCATCAAGTTGCATCCAGGTTGTTTTTAATTAGAAGTTACAGTTCCTACCCCATGATAATATTTTCAAACTTTAATATGTTCTTTTTTGTTCAGATTGAATTTCAGTTTATTAGTGCACATTCCTCTAACATGATACATGTCCATTATGCTTTCTTAATAAATCAGACTGAAAAGTCTCTAGATTCCATGTTGAAGACAGATATTTCACCAACCTAATTTTTTTAGAATAATGAATTATTTTTGTAAAAATGATACATTCTTATAAGAATCGAAGGCAGTTCAGGTGATTTTATGAAAACCTCCACCCAGAGATAACTACTGACATTGGATGAACAGCATTCTAGGCATCTCTAGGAAATTCCAGCTAGAAGGCTAGGTAGAAATGCTTTTATTAGAGTGGGACAATTCATATTATTTAAAGAATAAATACTAAATCAATTTTATGTGAATCAGAAGAAAAAGAATATTAGTTTCTAAAAGATCTCTGAAGTTAAGATGAGAAACATTAAGAAATTAAAATTGTTTTTTAATAAAGTTTCCTTTTTAGATGACATGGTTCAAGGCTCTGAGATGAAGAAATTACTTGCGCTTTCTCCCACCTTATCTCCTCTACGTCCCAATTTGTATTAACTATATCTATATCGATAATGCCAACAGCTATGCATCTTCTTCCTCTCTGAAACCATAATTCTGATGGCTATTTAGCCTTGATTTTACATTTAAACCGACTTGTGACTCACCATCAGTACACTTACCATCACTTCTTCATTCCTGAGTTGTTTTTAAACTCTTGGTTGGCTGAATTCCATCATTAAGTTTTTTAAGGATGGCTCATGAATGCCGTATTTTCTGTACTTTATAATTCTGGTCTTTATACTTGAATGCAACTTGGCTGAGTGAAGTATTCTTGCATCACACTTTCTTTTGCGCAGAACTTTGGAGACATTTCTCCATTGTCACTTGGCAGCATTGATTGTTGGTGGGGACAAGACAAGCCAGCTTAAGGTTCTCCTTTAAAACGAAAGTGACGTTCTTTT